ACTATGTTTGAGACTGTTGAATGCCAGACTCCAGCTGCCCCCCAAAAAACCCTGTCCTGCTCTGGTGGCTTAAACCGCAGCATATCTTCTGAAGACTGGTTGGTTGATGGACTTCTGATTTGGGGAACAATCTCTGTTCTTTACTTTTTGCTGCTGGTTTTGTAGTTGTGTGCCTATTGTACAATTTTATACATGATTTATATGGTATTCACACATACCATATACGTCACTTATACATATAATATACATGTAAGATACAATGCTGATTTACTGCCACACAAGGAACAATGAAATAGTTTTGGAGGGGAAAATTCAGATTGAAGAAACATAACATGGTGTGAAAACCAAGAATCAAAGGTTCTGTTTGTAGGAGAAAAGTGAAATTATAACTGGAGGTTCCAGTCAAAGCAGTAGAGATGAGAAACTCAGAATTGTTCCAAGCTTCAGAAATGATCAACTGAAGCTTTTCACAGCATAGAGGTGAGCACTGTAGCACTGCTAACATTTGTAGATCAAACTATTGCTGGGGCACAGAAATGGGCTCATTAAAAAGAAAGAACTCAGCAACCCTAGTTGAACAATATAGTTGTGCAAATATTTCCAGGATCAAAATGTTGGTGTTTAAAAGGAGCTTCCCTTGTAGTGTGTGGACCATATTCTATTTGGGGATTTAGAGAAAAATCAGTCCACATCTTCTGAGCTATTGCAACAGGGGAAACTAAAGCCACTGGGAGTAACATGTATTTCATTTGTACTACAGGCATAGCAATGCTGTACATGAAACTGTAATATTAAACAGGCAAGTGACCAAATGTAGCTATACAGAGAAGGCACTGCATGATTAAAAAACAACACAAAACGTGTTGCTCCACAGCAAAGTAAGCAACCACTTATTAAAGCATCACAGAACAACTAGCATCCCAGTTTTGCAGCCACAAGAGAAATGAGGAAGTCGTTTAGGCTGGGCACCAGGCAGTTGATTCTATCCCAGCCACCTGTTTTCTCCCCTTAATTAGGGGCTTATCTGCATTTCTTTTCTGCATAGACAGATGAATTGCAAAGAAGTTATCCTGGGTTATCCTATATATGTAGCTCCTGGAACTCTTGCCAATTAAAGGGTGAGTACATTTCTAGGCTGTTAGCAAGACTAGACACTGTGTAAATGTCAGTGTTGAGCAGAACTGTACCCATGTTGCCTACAGCTGTCATTCCCCCCCCCCAAAAAAATTAATCCCTCTGTGCCTTTGCAAGGAAGGCAGCAGTAAGGAATGCAACAACTACAGCTTTTCCTAGCACAGACATGCTGTGATGGGAAAAGTTGGCCCTGTTTCAGTTCTGTCAGTTATGGAGCATTTCAAGGGCACAGGAGCCCTGCAAATAAAAAAAAAAGCATAAAGAAGAGGAAGCCAGGCTAGTGCTGCGTCATGAAGGACCATGACAAAATGATACTCCGGGTATAACAGTGCCGCTACTGGAAGTAGAGTGCTGTCAAGTAGCATCAGATGTTGAACCAAGAATGACTTTCAGGACCTTTTCCACTGTACTAATTCTTCACATCGATTGACTTGTACAAAGTACATGCAGCTAATGGGAGCCCAGAATTAGTGCTTTTCATATGTCAAGGACATGATGGCATACAAGAAAAAATGGCAACCATACACTCATAAATGTTTAAAGTGCGACTTTATATTTGACTTGGTATTCCCTGTGTAGTTAATTAGATGGATTTATTTCTTCAGATTTCAGATTAAAACACTGTATTTGCAGTAAATGGAAGGAGAGCCGGTGGTTTAGAATGTCAGACAAGGACTGGGTGACCCAGGTTTGAATCCTTACCCAGCTGTGAAGCTCACAGGGTAGGCTTGCCAAGTCCCACCGGGGAGCAGGGAAACCCCCGCCCCAGAGGCCCGTTCCCCGCCGCCGGTGGATTGGGCCCCGGGGGGAACCCCACCCCCAAAGCACGTGACGTGCACATCATCCAGAAGTGATGCGACCACGCCGGGCACACTGGGGGCGGGGCCACGGTCATCCGAGGGAAAACTGCCATTTTCTAAGCTGAGAGGGTCATGTAAGTGTTTAGAGGCATTAATATAAGAATGTATCTAAGGGGCACAGTAGACCAAATACAATACAAAATTCACATTTTTTTTGCTGAAAACAAGTGTCCTATTGGCTCTGCAGTTTTAAGGAGTTTACTGTGCACTTGATGTGTTTTGATATGACATTTTTGTACAATTTACCTAAAATGTAACTATTCTGATTCTTCCAGTCCAGCAATGGAAATCCACATGCAGAATTAAACCTGCGCCAATGTGGGTGCAGATGTGCATCTGTATGTTCATCCCCATTATGGTACCCAGCATCTTTTAGAATGCATGTTGGAATGTGTGCATCCACATCCAGCCGCAGCAGCTGTTGCACATGAAACAGTTCAGGGCCAACGGGTGT